TCGGCTGGAATTGGGGCTGCGTTCTGAACGGGACATGGTTGTAGTCTCCCTTGGCACAAGTGTGGACTGGGATTGGACGCACCAAACCGGGCCAGTACTCAACACCATCTGGTGTCCTGGAGGACCAGGGTAGATGTGGGATGGACTAGGCTAGGTCTCAACCCCTCTGAGCCATGTGTGAGTCATATGTGGGTATGGACAAGCCATGGCTGGGCTGAGACATCCAACAGCAAGGACCCGTTTGGGTTGAAGGCCAGTCAGGAAAAGCCACTGTTCCTGCTAGAACAGGAGGTGAACTGAGTAGGGCTGGCTCATGGACCCACTGGTAAGCGTGAAACCTGGAATTGGGAGAGGTTCTGATGGAGAAGCCTGGGCATTTCCTCTAGCAGGACACAGACCCTGCAGGTAAGCGCAAGAAACATGATAGAAAACAGCCCAGAACAGGCCACGGAAAGTTACCCAGTGGCATGTATTTGGCATGGGTTGGGGGCAAGACCAGGCTGAATCAGTTCATGTCACCCACTGGCAAATCCAAGCACCAGAACAGTGTGGGTTGAGCCAGGTTCGTTTGCAACAAAAACTAGTGCACAATACAGAATGCCAAGGTGAGGTTGCCTATACTGGATGTGACCACAGCGCCCAACCAGCACGCGTGAAAAACAGGAAGGGAGTGGGCAGAGCCAGTAGCGGAAATATCGGGGGTTCCCTTGCTGGATAGCTACTCCCACTGGAGAGCATGAGCTGGGATGGGGGCAGACCAGACTAGGCAGGGCTACAACACCTGTGTGCCTCAGGTGGACTAGATCAGAGAAAAGCCAGGCTGGGCTGATTATTCTTACTGGTGCAAGCATAAATTAGAGTGGGTGAGGGTTGTTTGGGCTTAGCCACAGCATTAGCTGGCAGAAGTTGGCACTGGGGTCTAATTCTGTCAAGTCAAACCACAGAACTATCTGGAGAGTGCATAATCCTGGAGTAGGAGAAGCCTGGGAGGGAAATAGTGGGCTCCTCCCTCTTGGGTTGCCACTTCCACAGGAGGGCATAAAACTAGGACAGTGGCTGGGGTAGCCAGACGGACACCCAACAGCATCTGTGTGGGCTGCATAGTGGAGCTGGTTAGAGGGAACAAATCTTTAATACCCACTGACATGTATGAGAGCCAAATGGGATGTGGGACAGACTGAACTAGTCTGCTACACATACTAGCACACCAGGGTAGGGGTGGGTCTGGTGGTTATTGTGGGTCACTCCAACTAGGCTGCAGCTCCCACTGATTTATGCAAGGGCTGAGTATGTGCTGGGCAGAACCAGGCTGGACTGCAACACCCATTGGTTCCAGTGGGAGTCGAAAGTGAAAGCAGAATCAACCCAGCAGTGGCAACCACCAGCTGATCAGGGCCATTGCCTGAGCCAGGCCCTGTACTTGCTAGCACATGCAAGAATCTGGTCTGAGAACACCTCAGACAAAGTTTCTTCGGAGATCTCCCCAATCAAAATGCTGGTCTCAGAACCCTAACCAAGAAAAGAGAGAAGACAAAACAGGTCAATCAACCATCTCAGCTATATTTTGGCAGCGAAACACAGGGCAAACGGAGACTCTATGATGGACTATATCAATCAGTGGATTCTTCAACAACCTCATAGTGTTTGGAGTGGCTAGATTGGCAGCAATTCATAACTGGTGAACTATCAAAACCTCCTGAGCAAGAACCTCGGAGCATACCCTACATCTGGGACCTGGGGAGGGTGGGAAATTGGGTGGGCCTTCTCCCTTAATACCCACCTTTAAACATGAAGGAAACAATATGGAAATAATAGTCTTATCCACTTCCCCATAGCCCTTGAACCTTTTTATCCTAATTAACAATGTAAAGATTGTCAAAATATAATAATAATTAAAAAAAATAAACTAAATAAATAAATAAAAAGAACTCTGGTTCAAGTCCTGGCTGCTCAACTTCCAATTCAGCTCCCTGAGAAAGCAGCAAGAAAGGCCACGTATTTAGACCCCTGCTAACCACTTGGAGAACCTGGATGGAGTTCCTGGCTCCTGGCACTGGCGGAGCCTAACTGTCAGAGCCGTTGGAGAGTAAACCAGCAGCCAGAATATGCCTCTGTCTCTCCTCCTCTGCAACTGTTTCTGAAAATAAATCTAAAATATTAAAATAAATCTAATTTATTTAAATAGATAAAACAAACAAATTAAGTAAATTGTTTGGCTTTTATTTTTGGATGAGCAGTCATCACAGAACTGAGAAGAGGAAGAGCCGCCAGTCTTATCCCAGCCGTGCACCCTAAGTGACTAAGTCATGGAACAGATGGTGGGCAAAATGCAGAGCATCTTCCTACTCCTCTAGGCAATCTGCTTCAAAAACTGCAGCCCAGGAAGACAAGCACTCATAAAACAAATCTAAAAAGATAAATAAAATAAATCTCAAAAAACCTCAGCAAAAATGTCTATCTGCTATTTGGAGAGGCGGTATTAAGAAACAGCCAGTCAGGCCATGGGCTCTGAAATCAGGCTGGGGCCAAGTCGCAGCTCTGCCATTCACCACACTGAAACACTGAGAAAATTACCTCTGGGTCCTTGTATTATCATACATTTAAGTAGATATCATCATCCACCCCTAACAGTTTATAGGGATTAAATAAATTAATAAACATTTAGCATAGTCTACCATGCAGTAAATATTCAAAAGAAAACTAGCAATTGTATTAGTTATAATGCCATTGACCATGATATATCATTGCATGCTACGTCTCCTTCACAGATGATAGGAAAACAAGTTTTAGTTCTTCTCTGAGGTATTTCCAATAGGTTTTTAGCAATCTTCAGTTTTAAAAATAAATTGTAGGCCTGATGCAATAGCCTAGTGGCTAGAGTTCTGGCTTTGCAAGCGTCAGGATCCTATATGGTGCCAGTTTGTATCCCGGCTGCTCCACTTCCCTTCCAGCTTCCTGCTTGCAGCCTGGAAAAGCAGTAGAGGATGGCTCAAAACCTTGAGACCCTGCATCTGTGTGGGAAACGGGAAGAAGCGCTGGGCTCCTGGAATTGGTTCGGTTCAGCTCTGGCTATTCTGGCCCATTGCGACCGCTTGGGGAGTGAACCAGCAAACAGAAGATTATTCTGTCTCTCCTTTCTCTGTAAATCTGACTTTCTAATAGAAATAAATAAATCTTTTTAAAAAAGTGTTCATAAATCAATCACATAAGAACAATTCAGGTGAGCAGAATCTGAGCCATAGCATCTTTCACAGTTCCCCAAGCTGAAAAGCTGAGTAAGAGCTAGTGCTGTGACACAGTGAGTGCAGCTGCTGCCTGCGGCGTTCCTATCCACACGGGCACCAGTTTGAATCCTTATGGCTTCACTTCCGACCCAGCTCCCTGTAACTGGCCTGAGATGGCAGCAAGCAGGACCCCTGAATCCATGTGGGAGCCTGGAGGAAGCGCCTCGTTCCTGGCTTCAGCCTGGCCCCTACCGGCAGCTGTAGCCATTTGGGAAATGAACCACTCACCCTCTGTCTTTCCCTTCCTCTCTAACTCTTTCAAACCGATAAATATAAATAAATCTCTTTTTCAGAAAAGCAATGTGAGCAATATAATTGAGCAATGACAGTTTCTTGATTATGATACTGCACGATGTTACCACTGGGGATAAATCAAGGAAGCGCACTGAACTCTATCTCATTTATCTGAAGATAGATGACAAAAAGACAGCAGTCACCTTTTAAAAGTAATAAAATCCAGCCGTTTTGGCAATTTAGTATATATATATGTATATAAAACACATAAACCATTCTCTCAATCAAAACACAAAATAGAGAACATTCCTATCACTCCAAAAAATTCCCTCTTACCATTTTTATAGGCAATTCCCTAAGAATTACAGGAAATCACTAGGGCTTTTTATGATAATTATGGCTTTTTTTCCTTTTAAACATATTAACGTCTTTCCCCTCTTACTGACATGTGTATCTGAATGATTACTATCTATCTCATTAATGAGCATGTGCATATGTAAGTGATTAAAAAAACTACTCCACTACTGCAAGTTGGCTTTAAGTGGACTTAAGAGGAAGATTACAGGAGCAGATCTGAGCCAAGTGAATGTACACAGAAGATCTGCTAGCGGAGTGTCCTTGCTCGGATGCCCAGCTTTCCCTTCCCATTAGAGCCTATACAAGGCTAAGGTGCTGACATTCACAATGTCTTCAGGTGGTATGGACAGGTGTCTCACAGAGTCCAATATATTAGCTTACAAGTATGGAAAGGAATAGAAAAATTATCTCAATAAGCATGTCTAACCCTTCATTTTCCGAAGAGCTAGGAAAAGGCACACGAGCAGAGCCGATGCTGTAAGGTCAGTCAGGCTCTGGACCTGACTCTGAGTTTCTTTAGGTTTAGTCCAAGTCATTCATTAAAGCTGTGATCCAGCAGGTAGAATCTGTATAGAAAATAAAGGACTTTGGTCTTTTTCTCAAAATGATAGAACATGAAATATTTTCTTTTGTACACATGTAACCACCAAGCCTAACGACTCCATACAGATGACTTTTCTGCCCTTCGTTTCCCTTGGCAAGTTCATTCATAAGACAAAATACAACATCAAACATTCTAACTGTGGTCAAATCTGTCAGACTTGTATGTTTAGCTCAAGAATAACTTTTGCACAATACATATACATTTAGAGTTTCAATTCTTTCATGCATTACCAATATTTCATTTTCTTTATAACCTTTCTCCCATTGTGTCATGATCTGGGTAGCCAATTAATCTATAAATGTTCTGATTACTTAATGAAGGATTGAAATGACATTCTCATAGAAATGATTTTCATTTTCACTTCTAAAGCTGCAGAGAAAGAAACAATGTCAAAGAGATCACAGAGAAGACAGTATCATTAAGAATGGCTAGGACACTTAGAAGAAAACGTACTTTCCAGCCTGCTTTTTGAAGAGACATGGGAGGTAAAAATCCAACTAATCTGGTATTGAGACACTCACCTATTGGAACAGAGATCTTTCTCTTCTTGTAGTTTGGCTTAAACACAAAGCAGCCCTACAAAAAAGGAGGGAAAAAGCATAAAGTAAAAGTAACTTACCAGCAGAGATACACAATTAACAAACTATTTTATGGAGAAGTGATTTTTTCAAAATGGAAGGGAGGAATAATTTTTCATATAAGAAATCATATCACTTCTTTCTGAATTCTAGAAACAAATTTCTTCTTATACAAATTACTTACCTGAGGGCCCGGCATGGTAGCCTCGCAACTAATCCTCACTTTGCATGTGCACCAAGATCCAATAGAGGCACCGATTCTAATTCCAGCAGCCCCACTTCCCATCCAGCTCCCTGCCTGTGGCCTGGGAAAGCAGTTGAGGTTGGCCCAAAGCCTTGGAACTCTGCACCCATGTGGCTCTGCACCAGGAAGCGGCTCCTTCCTGGTTTTGGATTGGCTCAGCTCCAGCCATTTCGGCCACTTGGGGAGTGAATCAGTGGATGGATGATCTTCCTCTCTGTACATCTGACTTTCCAATAAAAAATAAATGTCTTTAACAACAACAACAAGAAGTTATTTACTTGAAAGGTAGAGACCTACATTGTCTATTTGCGGGTTTACTTTCCAAATGCCTGTAACAACTAGTACTGGCAAGGACTAGGCCAGGAGCCCAGAACTCAAAAACCACGTGGTGTCTTCACCACTTTACTAAATGCCTGGCCCAGAAGGGAAATTAAGGGGACTATCTACTTATTTCCTTTCTCTCCCATAGGAGGCCCAGATTTTATTAGTTCTTTGAGACCTAATCTAATGGAAGACAAAAAATAAGCTTAAACTCTGAAAGGTTCCATGTTTATGCAACTTAGAGAACAAAGAATATTTTTTTAAAGATTTATTTATTATTTTTATTGGAAAGGCAGATATACAGAGAAGAGGAGAGACATGAGGAAGATCCTCTGTAGGATGATTCACTCCCCAAGCTGAGCCAATCCAAAGCCAGGAGCTCTTCCGGGTCTCCCACACAGGTGTAGGGTCCCAAAGCTTTGGGCCATCCTCGACTGCTTTCCCAGACCACAAGCAGGGAGCTGGATGAGAAGTGGAGCTGCTAGGATTAGAACCAGTGCCCATATGGGATCCTGATGCGTTCAAGGCGAGGACCTTAACCGGTATGCTATCACACCGGGCCCAGGGATAAAGAATATTAATACCACATATGTAAAGCAAACCAAGCACGGGTGTTTGGTAAAGCTGTGAAGACACTACATGGGACACCCACAGCTCCTATCAGGTTATCTGGGTTGGAATTCTGGTGTTACTTGTGATTCTAGCTTCCTGGTAATGCACACCCTGATAGAACAGCTCACAAAGCTGGGTTTTTGTACCTACATGGGAGACATACACTGAGTTCCCAGGACAGAGTAAGCTGTGGTTTACTCTGACCCAACCCTAGTCCTGGCTCTTTCTTTACTATCAGTTGATATGGCACAGTTGGGGAGACTCCTGAGGATCTGTTCCAGGTCTATCTCCAGACCCAGCTTTCATGTGTGGTATAGTCTAGCATAGCCTAACCCAGCCCAGCCCAGCTCTTGTGTGTAGAGGTGGTGGGTGCTGTGGCCTGACCCAACAAAACCCCAGACCTGGCTCTCGGTATACTGCCAGGTGCTGTGGTCTGGCCCAGCCCTTACCCAGATCCAGCACTTTCTTGTTCTGATTGGTGCTGCTGCCTGAGGAAACCAATGATGCCTCCTTCCAGCTAGCTCCCAGACCTAGCTCTCATATTTGCTGATGGACACTGCAGCCTAGCCTAGCCCAGCCCACCCCTAGACCTGACTCTTCGAGCACCAGTGAGTGCTGTGGCCCAGTACAACTTGCCCCCTACGCCCAGTTCTCATGTGTACTGGCGGGTGCTAGGGCCTAGCTGGGAAGACCCCTGAAAACCTCTATTTGTCCAACCTCCAACTCAACTCTCATGTTTGCTGGCAGGTGCTGCTGCATACTGCTGCCCAGTATCAGCCCTCTTATGGGCCAACAGGTACTTCTGTCTAACCTAGCCTGGCCTGGTCCACCACTAGCCCTGTTCTCATATATGCAGGTGGAAGTTGGGAAGCTACATTCTTGATCCAGATTCCAGCTTGTGGCCTAGAAAAGAAATGGAGGATGGGCCCCTGTACACATGTGAGAGACCAGCAAGAGGCGCCTGACCCCTAGCTTCAGATCAGCTTTGCTCAGCTCCGGCCACTGTAGTCATCTGGGGGATGAACAAGCAAACAAAGCAGATAGAAGATCTCTAAGTAGCTTTTTCAAGTAACATAAATAAATTTTAAGAAACAAACTGTAAATCTTGTGTGTAGTTACTTATGAGTCTGCCTTTAAAGTAGATTATAAGCACCTGCAAGCCACTGCTGATCCTGCAACCTATATCACTGGGTTCTTCCCCCTTCTCTCATTCAAACTTTTTTCCTTGCTAGCAGTTAACACAGTTCGTGATACTCAAACAACTACGTTTAGCGTCTTACTTCAGGGCAGAAAAGGCTGTACTTTGTTTACAACCGGATCTCCGTGTCTAAAGGAGTGGCTAGTGCACAGTAAGCCTAACAGGGAAAGGGAACACTGCAACCTGCACAAAGAACTGAAAAAAAAAGTCCTCCTAGGAGTACCAAAAGGCAGGTACTGGCTTTGCATCGCAAGCAAAGCTGACCTCAACTGGATGCGGGGCTAAGATAACTCAGTTCTGTCTGCCGCCTCCTCCCCTAGCCAGGGAGCCAGGCCCCATACAACCTCTGCTTCTTGCCTTCGTCAAGAAGGAAGGAGGAGGCGGCGGAGCCCCGGGGAGCGCCCGCCCTCACGTACCTTGGACACCGAGGAGGTGGCCATAGTCGTAACGGCGCAGCCGACTCCAGGTCCACTCGGGATTTCCCGCGCGCCCTCGCGGCAGCAGGGCAGAGGTGACTGGTGTGCTACGGGGCTTCCTGATTGGTCAGCATGGCGTCCTGAGGCGGGCTTCCGGCGCGCCGAGGAGGCGTGGCGAACCCTGGCAGCAGCCGTTCAAGAAGCCTTATCCTGGGCCCGACATGGCGTGCGGCTTCCGTAGGTCCATCGCGGGTCAGGTACGGGTTCCGGAGCCGGCTGAGCGGGCCCGTGGCGGAGCGGCGGCCCCGGGACCCTTCCACCTCTGCGGTCCGTGTTCGGTCGTTCGGGTGGGCGGGTTCGAAGGAGTGCTGCGTGTCTGTGTTCCGTTCTCCGGAGCTGCAGAGGCAGACCGCACCGGGAGTCTGGGACGAGGCTGTGATCACTTGGCGTGAAATGTCAACGGGAGAAGCACCTGTTGCTTCCCTGACTCCTTCCCGCCCCAGCTGTCTGGGTAGGAACTCTATACGCCGCGATGGGACCCGAAAAAATAAGTGTTGCTTATACTGAGTGAAGGAAGATGGAACTATGTCTACGTTCGCAAGTATCTGAGAAGCAGGTTGTTGGCCATCGCTTTGGCAGCTCCTCCAGGATGGTTTCTGAGATACACAGGACTTCTTTTCTTGATTCAGAATTCTATTTGAAACGGATTCATAACAAAGGAATAACCTGAAATTTACCCAGAAAATTATGTAAAACTCATTGACTACCTGTGACACGTTGCAAGGAGACATTCTGTTGTGCTCCTGACAAGTCCTTTTCCCTTGTATTAACGGACCTACCTAGTCTATAATTGCCTAGTCTATAATTTACTGTGGCTCATTTTTACAATGTGCTCAGGCATTTTGGGGGAAATCCTTGTGCCTTTGTTTATGCTTGGAGAGGTACTGCCCTGTCCAATATCAACTCCCTGAGCTTCGCATGGTGTCGGGGAGACACCACCTCCTAGAGCTTTATCACTCCCTGAAAGGCGGGGTGAGAATTTGTTGAAAAATTAACTTGAGGTTTAAAGCTGGTCTTCCACTGACAGAGTTTGAAGGAGTCACTGACTTTGGCTTGAGTAGGAATGCATACCTATCTTAATAAGATTGCAACAGAAAAGGCAAGGAGCATTAAAGCATTAAGTTGATCCTGTCTCTCTTTCTGTAAGGATTTTTAAACTTTTTATTGGGAAGGCAGAAATACAGAGAGAATGAGAGAGAAAGATCTTCTTCGCCAGATCCACTGGTTCACTCTGCAAGTGGTCACAGTGGCTGGAACTGAGCCAATCCAAAGCCCGGAGCCCTCAGCTTCTTCTGGGGCTCCCACGTGGGAAGTGTGTGTGTGTGTCAGGTGGGGAGATGCAGGGTTCCAAGGGAATGTGCCATCTTCTGCTGTTTTCCCAGGCCATAAGCAGGGGAACTGGATGAGAAGTAGAGAAGCTGGGACTCAAACCAGTGCCTTATATGGGATTCTAGCACTTGCAAGGTGAACCACTGAGCCACAGCACTGGGCTCCTGTGTGCTAATGCTGTATGTTTTTTCTTGTAAAGAAAGGTGACTTAAAGCCCGGCATGATAGCCTAGCAGCTAAAGTCCTTGTCTGGCACACGCCAGGATCCCATATGGTTGCTGATTCTAATCCTGACAGCCACACTTTCCATCCAGCTTCCTGTATGTGACCTGGGAAAACAGTCGAGGATGGCCCAAGGTCTTGGAACCCTGCACCAATGTAGGAGACCTGGAGGAGATTCCTGGCTCTTGGCTTCAGATCGACTCAGCTCCAGCCGTTGTGGTCACTTGGGAGTGAATCAACGAAAGGAAGATCTTCCTCTCTGTATATCTAACTTTGCAATAAAAATAAATCTTAAAAAGAAAAGGAAAGGTGACTTAGAAACGAATATTTATTAAGTATGTCTGTGATAGTCTGTGTTCACCTTAAAGCCCATGGTATAAAAATATTATCCTGTTTATATAACTGTGTTATACAGATGAGCAGTTTAAGGTCCAGAGAGATTAAATCACCTACTGAGGGCTCCAGTCAGTCAATAAATTAAAAGGGTTTATGAACAAAATTAACTGTAAAGCCAGCATTTTCGATACACCATGGTGTTTAGTATGAAGGCAGGAGGCACAATGTGATCTGTAAAGACTTTATGTCTTTCTGCGGTGCCAGCATTAAGTATGTATGTATTTTGGGGCATGACCAGAAATTTGAGAATAAATTTAAAAATAATACAATATTTGATTGTATTTATCATTGAGGATTCCTTTCCTGGTTTAGGAATGAAGGAAAGTATTATGTGCAATGAAATATACATTCAGAAAACTCTGATGAATGCGTCTCTAGACTATGTCGGCATGTCCTCAGTTCTGAGGTTGAAAGTGACTGGAGTAGGACTGTGTTCTAGAATGACTCCAAGCTTACCTGGAAAGAGAAAAACAAGTAACTGCAGTGCAGTCTGCAATTACTGTATCTTTAGAAGCATGAACCAAGGAAACTTGGAAGAGAAAGCTCCTAAATGTCAAGGAAGACTTTATGGACAAAATGGAATAGGGCCTGTGTCTTGAAGGCGGGATGAGGAGGAATGTGTTGACTGGATAGAAGGAGAGCATGGAAAGGGTTAGGGCATTTTAAGAAAAGCATGTGTGTGGACACAGACATAGGGCAAACAGTATGAGTTCGTGAAACCATAGTATTTGGGTATGGCTGAAATGTTGAGTGTGCCTCACTTCAGTGAGCCTTGCGTATCTATTCATTTTCACCTCTGCTGCCCCTTGTTACCACTTGTTGCCCCATCCCAGACTAAGTCACCACACCAGTATTGCTTTGCTTGTGATAGTCTTCCAATGGCTCTCTTTCCATCCTTGCTTTACCTCCAGTCCATTCTACATGTATTAAGAAATATGACTTCGAGCATCTTAATCACACCATAACACTTGCTGTTCTACCAGGACCTGGACATATTTCTCTGTCCCCATTCTGCCACTGCATCCTGTCTAGCCACAGTGTTATCTTCTGCTTTGCTAATGAAGCAAGGTCCTTCCATTCCTATTACATTTTCATTGTGTAATTATCTTTGTGCCTTAAAAATAAACTTTACACCGTGACACTTTATACAAGATGAAATTTCACAAAATAATGCTTCTCTTAGGTGCATTTTTGTCTGTTCTGTACTTCGTTGAATACAGAAGTTGCTGTATTCAACTTCTGGCTGGCAGTCGAGACTTGCTCAATATATTTCGAAGTTGCAAGATATAGCTTGGGAAGTGTGTTGTCTAATTCTCTCAGTCCCTTACTAAGAATTAACAATTATATTGTTCTGTTGTTCTGTTCTTAGTAATCTTCATAGAAGAAGAGAAATTGAATCTATAAAATATGAGACCAAGTCTGAGAAATCAAATAACACCTCTGTTTATCCTCTGTCTTCTCTGTAACTCTGACTTTCAAAATACATGAATAAATCTTTAAAGCACTAAGCCAGGCAAAAGCCTGGAGCTTCATTCTGATCTTCCATTTGAGCGGTAGGGCCTCAAGCACTTGGGCCATCTTCTGCTGCTTTTCCCAGGCCATCAGTAAAGAGCTGGAGCAGAAGTGGAGCTCCTGGGGCACCAACTGGCACACATATGGGATTCCAGCATCATAGACAGTGGGCTTACCCACTTTACCACAGCACCAGCCCCAAAAATAAATCCTTAAAAGAAAAAGCTGTTTGTTTTTGTAGGTTTGAGAGATACATACATGGGTGAGTTGTTCCACATGTTCTGTTCCCTGACTTATTCCCTAGTGTGTGCCACAACCAGGCTGGGTTAGGCCAGGCCAACCCAGGAGCTCAAGACAATCTGAGACACCCACGTTGGTGGCAGAAACCCACGTGCTTGAGTCATCACTGCATCATTGTGCATCCTGCGGTGTATGTTAGTAGCTGAATCCAGGCATTCCAATATGGGATGCTAACATCTCAGGGGCATGTTCATCTTGCTGTGCCAAATGTCTGCCACTGTAATACTTTTGTTTTCAGTTACGGCTGCTTTTGAGCTTTGGTATGCCACATCCTTTCCATTAGGTTCTGTTAATTTTTTAAGTTTATATTTCTTGGAAAGGCAGATCAGATTTGTAAAAAGGAGTGAGAAAGATCTTCTAACTGCTGGTTCACTTCCCAAAAAACCACAACCAGTGGAGCTAAGCAGATACAAAGCCAGGAGCTTCTTCTAGGTCTCCCCTGTGGGTGCAGGTCCCAAGGACTTGAGCCATCCTCTACTGCTTTCCCGGGCCACAGGCAGGAGCTGGATGGAAAGTGGAGCAGCTGGGGCACTAGCTGGCACCCATCTGAGACTGCAGTGCTTGCAGGGCGGGGGTTTAGCCATTGCACCAGGCCCTGTATTAGCTGTTTGAGGCTGTCCCCTCTTCCCCTTCTCTCTGGCTTTCTCTCCTGCCTCTGGTGTTTTCTTCACTAATCTGTGATTTGTGATGCCTCTTCTTTTTCCCTTGTTTAAGCTTGAAAGCTCTTCTCTGGATCTGTCATTGTTGTTGTGGATTTTACTTCTTTATTCCTTGTCTCATTTTTTTTCTGGTTTGCCTCACTTTTTGGTTTCAACAATTTGTAACCTCTGCAGTTTTTCACTCTTTGGTCTCTGTTCATTTGGCAGTTGTGACCTTAATATATTATTCCTAAATAGTAGCATGAATATATTTAAATGTTGCTAACTAGCCCTGGAATTTTGCATTTTGCTGTAAATGTTTCTGTTTTGATTCTTAGCGTGCACAGATGAAATTTGCTCCCAATGATTGGAGAATGTGTTGCATTCCCATTGGGAAATTGCTCAGTATGCTACTGTATAATTTTTCTTTTGAAAATTACCGGAATTTGCTTCTGTTTTACTCATTCTTTCACAGCTCTGTACTATCTCCCAGTCTCAGAGGAAAATGTATTCTCAATTCACTTCTTTTCATATTTGGAGGAATTATTGAGAAGGAACTGTTTTCTTTGACGCTTCAGACATGAGAACCGAGCTAGAAACAAGCCTGGC